GAAAAAAAAAAAAAAAAAAAAAGGAAGTAGTCCTCTTTTATTTTTTATTTTATTTTTTTATCTGTTGATTAGGGCCGGGGGAAAGTATTGTTGGGTTGGTTTTCTACCTGCGTTTTTCCCTCCCACCCACCCTTTGCATGCATTTCCGGGTTGCTACAGTGACACGACAGCTACAGTGACACGTCAGCAGTGCCACGTCAGACAGTGACACGTCAGCTACAGTGACATGTCAGCAGGCCACGTCACACAGTGACACGTCAGCTACAGTGACACGTCCGCAGTGCCACGTCAGACACAGTGACACGTCAGCTACAGTGACATGTCAGCTACAGTGACACGTCAGCTACAGTGACATGTCAGCTACAGTGACACGTCAGCAGTACCACATCAGACACAGTGCCACGTAAGCAGTGCCACGTCAGCCATGCCACGTCAGACAAAGTGCCACGTCAGCAACATGACGGGCCTGCCAGGCCAACTGGCCAATGAGCCCATTGCCGACTACAAAAAGCGCGTCCATGCTCAGCTCGCTGCAATCGAGGCTGAGGAACAACGCCAGCTGGCAGTCAAGGCTGCCCAGCTACAGGCTGATGAAGCGGCAACAGCAGAGAAGCTGCGGCTACAGGCCGAAGCAGATGCAGATGCCCAGGCTCGACGCAAGGAAGCCCAGGCTCTGCTGCAGCATGAAACCAACAGCATCGAGAAACTCAAGTACTGGCACTTTGAACCGAACGGCGATGAGCCAACACCGGAAGAACAACATAAGGAGCTCATGGCCAAGCTCGTGAGCAGGTTGGTTTACACATGTAACCACCTACACTCCGAGCTGGCAAACCTCCAGTGGGCCGTGCGGAATCACAAGACTCGGCACGAGGATGCCACACGGGCACTGGACGCCCGTGTACTGGGCCTGGAACAGGCTGTACCAGGACCAGATGCTGGAGCTTCCAGCAGTGCATCCTCTAGCCTCCAACTGGAGGAACGCGTTGACCACGTAGTGGCAATGCTAGGAGACATAAGTGCCTTCACAGAGCCGGCCACCATCAGCCAGCGGTTCGAGTTGCTGGACACTAAGATCAGTCAGCAACAGCAGACTGACCACAGCCACAACAACAGCTCGGCGAGGCCATACAAGATGCCGACGTTCCGGATCGAGAAATTTGATGACTACACACATCAAGACCCGGTCGTCTGGTGGCAAGGATTTACAACGGAGTTGGGGATTCACGAGGTCCCTGACCATCTGTTCATCAGTGCTCTGTTCATCAACACCAAGGGAGGATGTCAGATCTGGCTCAGCCACATGGCAACCATCCACGGCGTCCAGGTTTCAGACCTGTACAAGAAGGTCTCCTGGGACGATATGACAAAGGAACGGAAGAAGCGGTTCATCGTCGACGACGCCCCGACACTCGCCATCAACCGCATCTTCACGATGACTCAAGGGAGCACACCGACACATGACTGACTCACGGATTGGCAGAAGATCGTGGCAACGCCCGATTTGGACTTGCCATTCCCGCATCTGCGGCGTGAGTTCTACAACAGGTCATGCGCCGCTCTCAGCCTCGCACTTGGTGATCGCGAGCAGTACATCACTTTCGCAGAGATTATCAACAAGGCAAGGGAGATCATCAAGACTAACAGGGCAGCTGCACACGAGAAGTCAACGTGGCAGCCAACCTATGTGGAGAAGGTAAGAACTGGTCCGCGACAGCAGCAGTTCGCTGCAGTCCAGTCGGACAGTGTAGATAACCCAGCAGCCACTCCAGCATCAAGTGACGGAGATCAGGTGGCTGTTGTCCAGCCGCGAAGCAATAACAAGTCCCGCAACAATGGGAAGGCGAAATCTGCATCGCAGGCCGGAAATGGACAGCCAGTACGAGTTCCATCAACCGAAGTTCGGCTTGACCGAGGCGGAGTACAAGGTCCGCGGCCGCTACGGCAGCTGCTATTGGTGCAACAGCACCAAGCACAAGACCTCCCTGTGCTAGGATCAGGGCAAGGAGGATGTGCGACCCCGCCTCAGCTCGGGAAACTGAGCTCCGCGGAAGGTGAGGCGAGTCCACCTTCTACTTCGCCAAATTCGGTCGCCTTGCTAGCGGCCTCCTGCACATCTGGGGAGAACGCGAATGTCGCAAGTCCTCGGTACACTTACGAGGATTATGTTGTCCACTTGTTTCCACCGCTGAACCAACCGCTCCACGTGCAACAATCCATCGCATGCATGGTTTCATCACCATCGACAACCGATTCGGCACCTTCGCCGCAATCTATCGCCGGGGATTCGACGTCATGGTCAAGACTTGAAGAGCTCGACCCATTGACGTTCACGGACTTCCAGTGGATGCCCGTTCCCTCGACCGGACGATTGTCGAAACCGCATTGCAACGTGCTTATGGCACAATTGCGGGATTACTTGCACATTGCAGTACCAGCTCCGTTGATGGACGCCGGAGTAGAGGTTGTCGACCTTCACGCTTACATTGCAAAGATCGACCGCGAGTTCAAGACGCAACGGTACAACGACATCGACGCACCATTGCTATATGTACACATTCAGATCGGAGAGGCGACCTGCAACACCTTGATCGATTGCGGAGCATCTCGCAACTACATCAGCCAGGACTTCATGGTACGCGCCGGCCTTGGCCCACGTGTCCGGAGGAAGTCCCAGCCTACGCAAGTCACTCTGGCAGACGGTCATACGCACAAGTCCATCGACCGGTGCATTGACGCCATCCCAGTGTACTTCGCTCCTCACGCAAGTGAGGCGGTGTCCTTTGACATTCTGGACACCAAATTTGACATGATCTTGGGCATGTCATGGCTGCGAAGCGAGGACCACCCGGTGAACTTCTTCCACCGCACCGTTCACATCCGTGATCGTAACGGAGTACTAGTTCCATGCACGGTGCCTTTTCCTCATCCTTCGATCAACTGCCACGTGGTATCCGCCGCAAGCATGCGAGCTTCCATTATCAGAGACGACAGCAAGGAGATGGGGGTGTGTTTTCTCCACGCCCTCCCGCCCCATGACGCTTCATCGACGGACTCACCTTCGGATCCACGCATCACCGAGCTTCTTGACGCCTACAGCGACGTGTTCGAAGGCCCGCGCGGAGTAGTACCGGATCGACCCATCCGCCATGAGATCATCCTCGAGGACGGGGCCGTACCTCTGCGCGGTTGCATCTACGGAATGAGCGAGGAAGAGTTAAGTGTGCTTCGGGCACAACTCGACGACCTTCTAGAGAAAGGCTGGATTCGGCCTAGCTCATCGCCATATGGTGCTCCTGTTCTCTTCGACCGGAAGAAGAACAAGGACCTGTGGTTGTGCATCGATTATCGCAAGCTCAACGCGCAGACGATTAGGAACGCCGGCCCTCTCCCACGCATCGACGACCTTCTCGAGCGATTGGGCGGCGCCCAGTTCTTCTCTAAACTGGATCTCAAGTTAGGGTACCACCAACTCGAGATTCGCAAGGAGGATCGCTACAAGACCACGTTCAAGACACGGTATGGGCATTTCGAATGGTTGGTCATGCCGTTTGGCCTTACGAATGCCCCAACCACTTTCCAAGCGGCTATGACAACGGAGTTCCGACACATGCTGGATCGGTTTGTACTCATCTACCTCGACGACATCTTGGTGTATAGTCGGAGTTTGGACGAGCATGTGGAACACCTGCACACCGTTTTGGAGCGGCTACGACAAACCAAGTACAAAGCAAACCGCAACAAGTGAGAGTTCGCACAGCAGGAGCTGGAGTACTTGGGACACTATGTGACGCCGCAAGGCATCCGTCCGCTTGCGGACAAGATCGAGGCCCTACGAGTATGGCCCGAGCCCACCAACACCACGGACGTTCGTTCATTCATGGGGTTGGCGGGCTACTATCAGCGATTCATCACCGGATACTCCAGGATTGATGCACCTATGACGAGGTTACARTCGCCAAAGGTGCCATTCGTATTCGATGACGACGCACGCCGGTCATTCCAAGCACTTAAGACGGCTATGCTCATGGCACCCGKCCTTAGCATCTATGACCCCACCCTGCCGACGCGAGTGACTACGGACGCTTCCGGCTATGGCATTGGGGCAGTCTTGGAACAGCACGACGGCGACGACTGGCACCCTATGGAGTATTTCAGCCACAAAGTGCCTCCCATCAACTCGCTTGATGATGCAAGGAAGGAGCTGCTCGCATTCGTGATGGCTCTCAAGCGTTGGCGGCACTTCCTCCTTGGGCGTCGTCGGTTCACATGGGTCATAGACAACAATCCATCGACCTACTACAAGACGCAGGACACGGTGAGCAGCACAATCGGACGATGGATGTACTTCATCGACCAATTTGACTTCACACCGAAACATGTCCCCGGCCTCTCCAATCGCGTGGCAGATGCACTTCCGCAAAGACCTGATCTTTGCGCTATGACACATCATGCCTTCGCATTCGACGAGGAGCTTCAGCGACACTTCATCCGGGCATATCAGTCTGATCCGGACTTCAGCACGCTGTATGCACAGCTATCTTCGGATCACCCGCCGGCCAGCCATTWCCGCATTGCTGACGGGTACTTGCTCCTCCACTCGAGAGGCAAGGACTTACTATGTGTCCCACGCGACCGTCGTCTTCGGACTCGCCTCCTCGGCGAGTATCATGATTCACGACTCGCCGGCCATTTCGGAGTCAACCGCACTATTGCACGACTTCGACAGCGATTCCGATGGCCTGACCTCATTACCGATGTCACTCGGTATTGCGACTCTTGCGAAGTTCGCCGACGCAGCAAGCCCCGCAACCGCAATCCCTACGGCGAGTTACACCCGATGCCTATCCCACGGGAACCCGGTCTCTCCATTGCCATGGACGTCACCGGTCCGTTTCCTCGCGACCGGCTCGGGCACGAAGACATCCTCACGGTTGTGGACCGATTGAGTAAGTACGCGCGTTTTCTCCCTTGCAAGTACTACTCCATGGCTCCCGAGCTAGCACGCCTCTTGCACACTGGTTGGATTTGTGGCCACAGTGTACCAGAAGACATTGTCAGCGACCGCGACACTCGTTTCATGTCGGCGTTTTGGACTGCTCTCATGCAGGAGTCCGGCACAACAATGAAACCAAGTTCGGCCCGGCATCCTCAGACAGACGGGCAGACGGAGCGGGCACATCAAACCGCTCAAATAATGCTTCGTACGCTCATCCGTCCGGACCAGAAAGATTGGGTTGACCGCCTCCCCGACATCGAGTTCGCCTACAACACTTCGGTGCACCCGGCGATCGGCGTGACTCCATTCGAGTTGCACCACGGTGGACGGAAAGGCCGTATCCTCGCCGACCTTCTCCTCCCTCGCCCAGCCGACATTGACGCTGCCTGCTCTCCTGCTTCCGTCCGGAAGTACAGGGAATTGCTGACTCAAGCCCGCGCAAATATGCAAAAGGCTCAAGTCCGCATGCAGCAGCAAGCCAACAGGCGTCGCGTACCATGTCCCATCCGCGCAGGTGATCTGGTTTGGGTCTCCGCGGAAGAGTTTGCACTGGAACAGGATGTTTCACGCAAACTGCTCCCCAAGTGGTTTGGACCTTGGTCTGTGACAGCAGCCGAGGGCGATGAGCCCGATGGCCCTTCATTTGTGATCAACATTCCAGAGCATCTGACGGTCCATCCGGTCTTCCACGCCTCGAAGCTGGCAACATACACGCCAGCCAAGAGCGACGACTTTCCGGACCGACGATCGCAGGACCCTCCTTCTATGGCTGGTCATCAGGAAGTTGACCGCGTTATCACCGATCGCAAGTACGGCAGCAAGCCGCGGCAGTACAAAGTCACATTCAAAGCATGCGATCGCGACGACACTCGGTGGATTTCAGGCGCAGATTTGAAAGCATCCGCACCGCTGATCTACACGCATTATGAAAGGCGGAGGTTAGCTTAGGAAGCTTCACGACCAGCCCCTCCCACCCGGACTGTGGTCCCTCCCTCAGACAGACGGCTTCGCCCTCACAGGTAAGCTCGGTTCTTCAAGGAGGGGGGGTGGCATATTGCGTAGCCACACGGGCCCTGCAGGGCCCGTCCCGGACATTCAGCCTAAAAGCCTAAAACTTAGGGCTTACAGGCCCCGTTCGTTTCAGCCTGAAAGCTGAAAAACGAGGGCCTGCAGGCCCTACTCCGTTTCAGCCTATTTCTGGGTCTTTCAGACCCAGAGTTTTTCCAGCCTGAAACGGAGGGCCATTTTCAGGCCCTCATTGTTTCGACCTGCCCCTAAGACTCAGGCACGTAAACAGGGATGCGGAACAGGCTAAGAATAGCCTGTTCCT